AGATACTTGGCTCTAACATCAGGATTGCTTTGTCAGGTCTCTAACCAGCTTGGTGGAGATGACAGAAATAAAGCTTAAGTCTTTATACTCTGCAGCTGCTACTCAACCCTGCTGCAGGAATTTCTCCTACTCGCTTTGGAGAAAGACATGCTTTAGGGTTAGAACAGCTCCAAAGCCTCTAAGAAATAGCTTTTCACTCATATTTTAAAAGCCAAACTCTGCATTATTAAGCGTTTCCAGGTTATCAAGATTCAGTCTTAGTCAGAAGTCTAGTTGCAGTAAATGCCAATGCTAAAACCACTAATTTAAAACACCATCATGTTTTCTGGGTCTTGATAGCAGAAGTGTGTCCTATTGCTTCTGAGAGAATTAGGGTCTTCAGATTAACCTGGACTGTGTCCTTTAAAGCTCCTGTTGAAAAGTGTAGCTTCCACTGAAGTCTCAGGATCCAGTAATGGATTTGGGGCCAACTCACACTTCTGTGTGTCTCTAGTCAGCAGTGTATCCAGCAGGGCTCTGAGATTGCCTTCTTCCTTGGTCACCTGGGGACAGTTTCTGATGATCCTGCAGAGTGCTTCTTTCCAAACAGAAAAGAAATCATTCTTGCCTCTCCCTACTAACATTAAATGCCTGTCTCTTCTTCCGGCACATGTGTTCACCAGGTGAGCACCTTCCCTCCTTTCCACAATGTGGACAGAGCTGGGGATGCGTACTATTTAATGACATTCTAACACAATGTTTTTATCAACATTTCACAGCAGTTATTCAAATAGAAGGATGATAACTGGGGATTATTTCTTTTTTATTCCACTGTAGAGGATGCTGTAGTGTAGCACTACAGCACTTACCATGCAATTGTGATGGCATGTGATGGCGATGTTTCCAAATAGTCTGTCTCACAACAAAAGGTCAGCAAGTAACCACTCATAGAGATACAGACTTCCTTTCTACCTGGCATGCAATCTTTTCAGAAAATGAAGACAGAGATTACGGAGTACTCTTGTAAAACGCAGAGTGAGAGGTGCGTGTACAAAACCAATTAAGGAAAGAATTGCTTTTTGCTGCTTTTTGCTGGTGCACTCTTTCGGAAATTAACCTCCGTATACTAATTAACCTCTGGGTGACTTTATGTAAATTAATGGCATCCTTTGCATTATTGCTGTGGTAGTGCAAGTGATTTAAAGTGATATAAATGCTTTAAAGTGATTCGGAGAAAACTCCAGGAACAAACTTGCCAACAAAGTTTTCAAGCTGACAAGCAGGTATTCTTTATTGCGGCGCCGGGAGACACGGGGGATAAATCCTCCTAACGTGTGTCCCCGTACTGCTATACAAGCCACCCTTATATAGTCACTGGGCATACATACATATTCATGAGTGCACCTCAGTAATTTTCCATTGCTACTGTTACAAAGCCATCAAACTTAACATTACTTAAAACTTCTTATAAAAGTTTCTATATCCCATTTTGTGATTTTGTGCCCCTTTAAAGGTAGCCAACAAAGTGGTTTTTTCCAATGTATTAAACTATAAAGATGTTGGAATGATCAGGCTCTCTTGGAATGTGAAGTGGATGAGGAGAAGGAGGAGAAAAGGTGAAGTGCTCTAAAAGATATTGGGAAGACATACAGAGTTCACGGGCTGCATCCTCAGTTTGATAAACCCCAGGACCACTAGTTCAGTGTAGACGTTTCAAACTGATGTCATGTCAGGACCCGGTCTCAAACACTGAAAACAGGTATTAAGAATGTTAACTGGAGTCCTATAGCCCTTGGCAATCTCAGAGGAGTAACCTCAGTAGATCACAGAGTATCATTAGGAAGCCAGGTCATTGGCTTCACTTACGATGGATGGCTTGCTGTGCAGTTAGTTTTCCTGTGTCTGGAGACATCAGGGACAGAGTCTAGTGAGGAAATTTAACTAAGTAAACAGTGGCCAGATTTATAAAGAGCTGTTGTAACACCTTGTAACATTTCAGAGCAGAATTACCCTCTGTGACCTGGTGTTAACCACAAACACCCAAAGCACTTGGGACAGCAAAGACATAGGAGAAACCAAACCAGTGTCAAAAGAGCTGCTGTGCATGCTGAAGCCAAGTGTGCTCCTGATGCCCACTGAAGCGTTTGGCACAACAGAGATACCTGTTAATGTCACTAAAATTTAGAAACCTGTTTTAGGATGAGATAAGTCAGACCCTAAATGTGAATATCATTCATTAGGGAGGGTGGAAGGGTGGCTGGTCCTAATGTAAATGCCTACAGTCCACGTTTTGTCAGCAGTACCCCAGTCCTTCAGGCAAGAACAGCTAATATAAGGAGTGGTGCTGGGAGATGAGAAAGATACATCACCTAGGTGCCTTCTGTGTATTATCATTATTAATAATGATAATAATATACATTATGCATTAAAATGTGATTATTGCTTATTATTACGTATCATATACATCTGATTGTAAGGGTACTGATGCATCATTTAGAAAAAGAAAGTGGCAGCTTATTCATGCCCTGGAAAAGATAGTTGAGGTGCTCAGCTTGAGAGAGTACCAGGCTGTGATTCCCAGTTCCATAAAGCTACTGCTTTGCAGCCCATGTTTAGGCTCCTTAGGTGCTGAGATGGGGAAACTCACCTACATAACTGATTTCAGTGGCTCTTCTTGGTTATTTAAGAAGCTTCCAGCTCAGTACTCTGGTTGTGGTGAATCCCAGGCCCCTGGTTCTCCTGTGACATATACAAAATGGCTATTTCACACTGCATGGTATGAATTCAGCAGCAGGAGCCCACAAGTGATGTACAGGGGAACTCACGATTGTCATGTTGTCTGTGGATGTAAAGCCAGAAATTAAGCACAGTAGCAGCTAGCCTGTAAGCTCACACTTTCTCCTGGATTTTACCTGTCATCTGTGAAATGCTCAAACACTTGGAACCATGCCAAACAGCTACCTGCCTCACTGTCTGTGTGGAACAGTGGATAGTCAGGCTGAGAGATTTACTCCAAGGCAGTCCAGGCAGAAAAAAAAGACAATTTCAGAAAAATACTAGGGGAAAACTGTATCATCGATTATATCATAATGGCATTAGGCGACTTTGCATGCTGCTATTAGATGGAGGAGTGAGTTTTCAGTATGATGGAGAGGCACACGCCATGATAGCCATAATGATAAAGGATTTCCTCCTCAGAGCATCCTGACCATCAAACTCTCCCCAGTTACTCTACTGGGAGAGTAGCCTGCTTGTCATCTACTCTCCACCCACCCTTTTCCCAGTAAACCTGTTCCTGGGCAAAGTGGAGGTATGGAAAATCCTGGAAGATGTTGAGGAAATTTCTAAGATGCTGTTTCCCTCTGCTACCTCCTTTTTGCTGAAAAGAGACATTGAGTCTGCAGCACCTTTGGCATAGCGGCACCAAGGCTGCCACCAGAGCACTTTCCATAAGATCCCCTCCCTCTGCAGAGCACTTTCAAGCCTCCACCCACCACAGCCGGCATTTATTAGTGTCTCGATTGCAGAGGCAGGTTCTGCTCCTGGGTTCAGCTCATGAAAAAGAGGAGTAGAGGTCCCTAGTTCTGGGGCTGTGATATGGTGATGCTTTGTAATTAGCCCAGGGTTTACAGGTTCAGTGTAACTTTGGATTACTACAAGAGACTTACCAAATACATGGTGGCATAGGAGGGGTGCTCCTAATAATGCTTTGAAAATGAAAAGAAAGCTTATTCAGATGAAAAAAACCCTGTCAAACTAAGGAAAAAGACAGAACTGCCTTTTCTGTCTACCCCACGACTGGCCTCATGCTCCGGTGTGTTTCCATGGAGGCTGTTGCTGTCACTGTATGGCTCACGCTGGAGTGTCACATTGGATGGGAGCCAGCTCAACAAGAAAAATAAAGTGAGTTTTTAAGAGGTAATGTGGTAAATGTTCTTCTCAGTCTGGCTACCAATATGTGCTGTCTAGCCTGAGGCGCGCAGCACATATGGGTGAAGCTACTGAAGTTTGGTACTTTTAACTTCTGGAGTCACTTTTTACAAAATCAAAGGAGACACATTGAACTAATTGAGAAAAAAAAAAGATAGAAAAGATAGATAAGGCAAGACAAGGCTGAGCGATCTGATCTCAACAGGCTGCCACTGCCCATTTCTCAGTTTATATTCTGGGATTTACAGGCTTTTCCACATACTGGGGGATTTTCCCTGCTCTTAGTCTCCGGCAGAGCCGGCAACTGTTCACAGCAGCAGATGGCTAGGTAGCAAAGTGCCCTGACCATGCTGATGGTGCCCAGGCAGGTGATGGTGGCCAGCGCAGCAGCAGATGCTGGCATCTGGGCCACCTGCTTGGGGCAGCTGTAATGGCAGCCCTGCCCTCCTGCTCCCCCAGCAGCTGCTGGAGTAGGCAGCCTGGCTGCAATTCCTCCTTCCTTTGTGGAAATGCAGTTTTACCTTCACTGCTCTGGCGTTGCCTGCTCTGCAGAGAATATGGCCAGCCCATTTCGGGGGGCTGTGCTAGCAAGGGCAACTTTTACAGCAAAATAGAGGTGATGTCTGCCGTTTGAAAACTGCTCCTCTCTTACTTATGGTCTTTCAAGACTCTTCAGTAGTCATGTTGTGGTGTGCCCCTGGGCTTCTGGGAGAGCATCACAACCTCCTCCTCTTTTTTCCATCTGTCAGCTCAGTAGTGACAATGGGGCAGACTGGAGTTTCTTTCAGCTCATTCGATTTCTATGGTTAGCATTTGCCAAGTGCTCAACCATTTGTAAAAATCATGTCATCAGTTGTCATTAGAAAGAGAATTGATAAGTGGTATTTGAGCTTTGCAGTCACTCAAATGAATTAATTCTCTCAGTTAAAAAAAATCCCCAAACCACAAAAACAAGCCCAGACATTAAGTAAGCAATTGCTACAATACGATGATTAAGTTTTTCATCTGTTAGAGTGATACCCAGTGCCACAACTATGGTTAACAATCTGTCAAATTCTCCAAAAAAAAAAAACAAACAAAACTCTAACACATTAAAAAATGATAATTTACTCATCTGAAATGTGGTATGTACAACTAATTCCAGATGAAGCATCTTAACGCTTGTGAACCATCAACCTTTAGCATCCAGAAAGCATACAATCTGAAAATCTCCATGACCATGGCAATGTCCATGGCACACAGGTGCAAACGTAGCAATTTCAAGCCAACCTGATGAAATAACAGAAGTGTTGGAAAGAACCATTTCAAGTGTGTCCCATTTCCAATCTGATTCTGAATCTTTTCCATTCTTGTGACCAGGTAGGTATGTCTTGAATCCATGGATTCTGATACCAGAAAAACCAAATTGCACGGCCCTGAAATCAAAACAGAAGTTATCATGGTGAGTGCCTTAGTAACACAGGAAAGCACCTGTAAGACAGGGTGGAAGACAGGAAAGGAGGAATGTTGTCTGAGTAAAGAAAAAGCATCAAAGTGCTTATTTATTTGGAGATTGATACTGTTATAATTTTTTTAACACCTCCATGAAGAACAATGAACTTGGCTGAAATAAAAACAACTGAGGAAAAAAAACAGAATTTGTTGAAAATATTTGATATACCTAAAACCTGTCAAGGGAAAGTGTGAAAGACTGCTATGATAATATATGCAGAGAAGACACCCCAGCTGTTTTTGGCTGCCTACTAGGTACAAAATCACATCCATGCCCAGCTGAACGTGTTCCTTTGCTAACATGCCTGCAGAATGCTTCTCAGTCCCAATGCACAAATGCTGATATTTCTGAAACCTTTCTTCTGCTTTTTAAAGTGCTCCTCCAGGTCTTTCATGTTCAGAACTTCTTTTGTAGCCTATGAAACCCCTGCACAGGGAACAAACCAGGTATCACCAATTTTACAAAGACACAGTGGAGGGCAAAATAACCAGAAGCCACGGAGACCATGAGACAGTGGGAGTTACAGGGAAAACTTGGTAAGATTGTTGCTCACCATTTCTCTACATTAGCAGCAGAGATGGAGTAGCTTTAATGTTCCTATGAGAATACAGCACACCTCTCTTTATGAAGCACTCTTTAAGGGATCCCCCCCTTTTTTTTTTTTTTTCCTCCTAAACAACCAAACACTACAATATGAGGAGCTGAGATAATGGAATTGAACACGGAGCTTAAATCGATGTAAGAAATTTTCTCAGGGTGATGAATTTAGGATTTAGGCCCATAAATACAGCTACAAACTACAGAGTTTTGAAATGAAAATCCAGAGCAACATATTCTGTTCCTGGGCATCAAACTGACACACTGTCCATAACCAGGAAGTGCTTTTCTCCTTTTCTTTTTCTTACAAAAAACATTAGCCAAACATTGTAAAAACCCAAAGCTCCTTCTTTCCCAAAACACGTTCCTCAATGATTTCCTACTCCCTACTATCTTTTGCTATGTCGGATGTTACTAAATAATGAACTGTCCCTCCTGTTCTTCTGCCTCTTAAATAAGACCACAACTGTTTAAGAATTCTTGCTGAAAGAAGACAAGTTTAAAATTAAGAAAAAAATAGTGCATGGTCCCAATCCAAGGTAATAGAAAGGGCACAGAGCTTCCAGATCAAGGGAGTGAAGCATTAATACTGTGTGGCCCCACTTTCCTAGAATATGTGTCTTGGCAACATTGCTAGTCTAAATCTGGCAAATTGAGTATTTTGACCTCAATTCCTGAAGAAAAACATTCACCTATTATATCAGATTACAATTTTCCTCTTTTGTGCAGCATAACTGAACTATTCTCCGTCAGTAAGTGTGTACACTAACACTGCCACTCATGCACTGAGCTAGGTTGTTTTTCTTGGGGATTTTTTAAGGAGAGTGGGCTGAAGGGAAGATGATTTCCTGATAGTCTGTCTAAGAATGAACAATTGGTTTATACAGAGTACAGAAAAGTATGAATGTGGTGTACAAAAGCTCTGATGTTCATACCCAAGGAGTATTACTGCTGATGTTTGAGTGAGTCACATGAAATAGGAGTGTTGCTTGTTAGTTGCACTTGTACATTTTAGATTGACCATTTTGGTTAATGGCCACCTAGAAGTTGGCTATAAACTCTAGCATTTGATGGCAGAGTGCCATGCATGTTGAAACACTTCAGAAGTAGATTCAAAGAAACAGAAGCTGACATCCCTGCCCCAAAAAAGTCTGCAACCTCATACTGGATGGCAGCTGTTGGATAAAGGGGCAAGGCCCACGTTTTTATGTTGAGCTTAACAGCAGTTGGAATGGAGAAGGAGTGGAGGAAGCGCTTGGCAGATGATCACAGGCTGGATTGCAAGATAGCAACCATACCCAAAGGCTGTATCTGCTGATGTGGTCAATTCCTTGGCAAAGAAAACCCATTTATTTGCCTGTATCCAGAAGGGAAGGCTTATGAAAGGAACTGCTAACACAATCCCTCAACTGCAGGTATTTGAACAGATTATCTGTCAACCCGAAGGTTTCCCTAAGTTCAGCAAATGAACACAGTCTGTCTTCTAAAATGTATCATGTAATTTGTTAAAGCTTTTGTCTAACTATGCATCCCAAATAGAAAATGCATTTAGTTTTTTGTTTGGGTAGCGAGGTTGACTTTATTTGAGTTAGAAAATTGAATACAAGCTGAAATGGAATAAACAATAGATAAGAGTGATATTTTATAACTGGTGTTAATTTCAATGACAATCTTCTGATATTCAGCACATCATTGATTTATTTCAGATGTATTTTTATGTGTTTCAGACTGGCATTGTTAAAATATTCTATTGATTTTCTGTTTTCTTTTGTTCTGAGGTTCCAGTGTGCTCTCTGTTGGTGATGCCATTCCCCATTTTGAAAAATGATTGATCAATTATGATTAAATAAAAAAAGAAATTAAAAAAAAGACATGCGAAAGTTAAAAGGTAGAAATCGCTAAATTTCTTTCACGATTATTATCTGTTTGGTGCTGGACGAGGATCTAAGACAAAATGCAAACAGGACAACGGATATTGGGGAAGAACGGTGAAGAAAATTCTGTATCAGTGGAGGACAGACACAGGAGAGGTAAAAGGCTGAGTAACTACAAGTAAATTTTATAGGCCCTTTCTTTTGGTAAGTTTGGGGAAACTCCATCGGGGAAGAACACCTCCAAGAAGACTGGAGAGAGGTGTCTGCGACTCTTGAGTGATAAGACTCGATAGAAGCAAGTTAGCAGTACCGCTCTGTCAGCATTATGGCAGAAGTGGAGGATTAGGGAAAAAGTCTAAAATATGCATGTAAACACAATTGTTGAGCTTATGAAAAAGTTAAGCAACCAGAAATGTTCCGTGGGCTGGTTTGTTCTCCTGGTTTCCAAAAGTATGGGTTTTCTATTTTTAGAATTGTGTTTCGCAATACACTGTTAGGTTCCTGTTTCAAAATTTAAGACTGTGTTTCTGAAAACATGGCATGCTGAAAAGTCTTGCTCATTTAACAGGCAATATGATTAAAGTGTCTTTTCTCAAAAAAAAAATAAAAAGAGAGCTTTCTAAATCTTTAGAAATACCAAATGTTTTCAAAATGTTTCTGTGTTAAATTGTAAGCCGGAACATTTTCAAATAGACAATATACGCTCAGCTTTGTTAAGCTAGATGAGAATGGAAACAGAGGGGTCAGGTGTATGGAGTGAGCCAAGATGGTGATTTAGTAGGACATGTTTTCCATAAAAGCATGTGATTGAGAACTATGTTTCTCTATAAATCTGTGATATATATAAAACACTAATGTGTAATATCCCTACTTCTGTATCAATCTCTTGATATATAATCATGTAATACATTTCTCCTGCAAATGCAGCTACGTATTTTTTGCTTTAGATACTGCCCCGCAAATTCATGCATATGGGTAATAGTTCTTAGCAGCAGGCAATAGACCATGTAAACAGCCAACATAGTACATAATGGAGCTCACAGAGAACAAATTTTATCACCAAATGCCAGTCAGCCAAGCCCTCTTCGAGATGATTTCCTCAGATACATTAGATAAATGAATAAAATATTTCTAAGTATGACAAAATAAATATCGATGTTTTTAAACGTTTTACCTGAAATTCAATGGAAATGAGCTTCATTTGCTTCTCAGGTCATGGAAACACGTATAACATGATGTTTCTCTGTTTCTCTGTTCCCCACCTTATCGCACCATCTACATGCAATATGCTTCCCGCTATCACTATTCATTTTTCATGTACCAAGTATTTGTTAATCCTTTAACCTCAGTAGGCAGAAACCAGTTTTCCTCTGCAGAACACTCAGTGCTGGGAAAGCCTTGCTCCATGTTCCCAGTGGTTAAGAAGGCTGAATGTTAATACTCATGGCTTTTTTATTGATAAATCTGAATATAAGCTATGCGTCTGTCCAGGGAATGTTTCCAGTGGTGCTCTATGGTAGCCTTCCTCCCTTATGGGTTTACATATTTTATCTTTTAAAACAAGTGTTACAATGTTAACTTTTGACTTGGGTAAAATCTCCTGATACCTAATGAATCACATATGTAACTCAGGGTGAGTTGTTGGAACTGGTTATGTATCTGAAGTAATAATATAAGGAAATAAATTGCTTGAGTCACTACACTGTATTTTAACTTGGTGCTCACTTTTCTCCAAAGGAAATGTTTACACTAGAGGCAACATTATAATACTAAATTGTACCCAATCCCTTTTATACCTTCTGGATACATACATTTATATAGACTGTGAAGCAGATTTCTGTTTATAACCATTTTAACACTTCTTATTTGGTATTCTGCCTTTTCTTTTTTTTTTTAACCTTGTGGAAATAGAGATAAGATGCAGGGACAAATAGCGAGGGGGTTGTTACCTAAACAGTTTATGCTGAAAGGCAGCACTGGATCAGTTACAGGGAGAACACATAAAGAGATGCCGAGATGTATTTCAGGCAGTTGGCATGAAATCCTCTAAGGGAACAAACATTGGTTCTGGTTCTTCTGGCTTCCTTGGTAAATACTGTGTAGAGCAGCAAACATTAGTTTGTATTTAATGAAAGTAATGGTGTTTTAGCAGTAATTATTTACCCAAGCTCAGCCTGTCTTTCTGTGTAAACAGACAAGCTACACAGGCTTTTACAAACACTCACATGACGGGCCAACGAATTAGACAAGGGATCCCTCTTTTTGCATTTTATTTACCAAATAATTGTAACGAGTGGGCACCTCTGGAACTGCTGAGCTGGGCCTGAATCTGAGGAGAGGCAGGGGTGGGAATTCAGTAAGAACTTGCCATTTTCTACCTGCTCTGACCAAGGTGTCCTGTCCAGCATGGCACCCTTTACTGTTCACCAGGCTGTTAAGCTTCCTTAAACTGAACCCTGCTCCCCCAGACATTGTCCATCTTAGCAGCCAGGCCTGGCCAAAGCTCACCTGCACTCTGGCCACAGTGTTTACTTCATGCAACACGAACCACAGAAGAGGCAGTAGAAAACAGCCACATCAGCTTTACATTAACAAAAGGCTCTAAGATGCAAGGGAATCCCTAGGTAACTTGACAAGCCAGACTAATAGCCTTGACACTGGTCAGGTGTGGGCCAGGATCTTTCCACCGAAGTATTTCATTGTGTAAACACATAAGCATTAAGAATGCTTTTGAAAAGAAATCTGCTTAAAGTTTAAGCACTGATTCTCAGGGATTATGGTTTTTTGTTTCCTAAGGTTTTCTAAAGTTCTTTCGAACCATCAATGTAATAAAAACAGTTTCAGTTTTAAGCACACTTCAAGATTTTGGAGTCTCTTTCTCTGTATGCTGTTATAAAGCCTTTACTTCTGTGCCTCTGACCAAGAAACAAGCCACAAAAAGCAAGGTTTGCTGACCCAGCCCCTGCGAGCCCCCCAGGCAGCCGCGATCCGCCGCGCCCCGCCTGCTCCGTGCCTCACCCTCCGTGTGTCCTGCCCCGCAGCTCCCCTCACCCTCCATATCGCCCGCCCCGTGTGTCGTCCCCTCGGGGCGCTCCTCAGTGCCACGACCGCCATGTCCCGAAGGGGCTCCCCTCGGCACCGCCACCGCCTTGTCCCCGGGGGCTCCTCTCGGTGACCCCCTCAGTGTCCCCATTACCCCCTGTTTCCGCCTCGTCCCACCCGCTGTTAACCTGCCCCCCCTCCCCTACGCTCGGCTCGGCCCCGCCCTGCCCTGCCCGACCCCGCCTGCTCTCAGCGCTCCCCGGCCCCGGGCCTCCCCTCGGCGCCCCCCGCGCCCCCGCTGCCGGCCCCGCCCGGCCCCTCCCAGCGGCGCTCCGCTGCCCTGCCCCCCGCAGTCGGGCGGGTCCGGGGCCGTGTCCGGGCCCGGGGCCGTGTCCGGGAGGGGGGCGGGGCTGCCGGGCGTTCCCGTCCCCACCCCCCCCGGGGCGGGGCAGGGCGGGCGGTGCACCGGGTGCCGGGGGCGCGGCCCCTCCCCTCCCTCCCTCCGCCCGGCTGCCGGTGGGGGCGGGGACGCGCCGCATGCCAGCGACGCCACCGGCGCCCTCCGCGGCCGGAGCAGGGGCCGGGAGCTGGGGAGGGGGACGCCGGTCCGGACCGGGCCCTTTGTCTGAAGCGGCTGGTGGGGTGTCTCGGCGGCGGCACCACCGTGAGGCGAGGAGAGGCGGCGCCGGGAGCCCCCACCCCCGGCCCAGCCTGGCCCCGGCTCATCATGTGACGCGGGTAAGTCGGCGGCGAGAGCCGCGGCTCCCCGGGCTGTCCCCATTCATTACCCGGGGACGGCGGCTGCGTCCGCCGGTGTGCCCTGGGCGAGTGTCCGTCTGTCCGTGTGGTACGGCCCGGGGAGAGCGGGGCGGGCGGGCAAACAGAGCGAGCGGGGACCCTGTGTCAGGGGAAGGAAACAGTTTCTCCTGCTCTGCTGCTTCTGCTCAGGTCTGTGCCCATTCCCTTTCTTACCGGAATAAACGGATAACGTGTAGGTTTTTTGCAGCTGTCCCAGTCAGGTTTCTATGTTACAAAAAACAAAAAAAAACAAAAAACCCAAACCAACCAAATCGTTCCGGTACAGAAGTTAAATAATTTTAAAGAAAAGCGGGTGCACAGCGCACCCCGTCTATCCAATTCCTCTTTCTCCCCCTTCTTCCCCCAGCGCAGTCGGGGGTTAACGGCAGTGCCCTCCCGCCCTCTATCCCTCCTCCCATCCCATCCCTAACCTACATGCTTCCCGGTGCCCTGGAGGCAGCAGTACCGGAGGGGGGGTGGCTGTGGGGTGTGTGTGCAGGGTGGTGGGGGCCGGCCCGAACTTTTCCCTCAACTTTCCCGCTGAGGTTTTAGAAGGGGGGCGAGGAGGGAAGTGGGAGAAGGCAGTGAAAAAGAAGGGAGAAAAATGAAAAGCGATAAGCCAGGAGTGATGAGCAGCGAGCTGGGAGCGCCCAGCTCTTTGTGCTCCCGTCCCCGGGGCGGCCGCGGTGCCCCTGCGCCTTTGGGGTGGGAAAGGTAATATAAAAGGAAGTGTTAAAAAAAAATTAATATATATATATATAAAATACAGGAGTGAAATACTCGGGGGGTGGGGTGGGAAAATAAGAGTGTAACACTCTACGGGGGAAAAAAATCAGTGTAATGATCTATGGGGGGAGATAAAGACCAAGAGTGTACTGCTACATTACCTTCTACCAAAATAATTGTCTTCTCTAAAATAAATACTTGCTGTTCCAGAAGTCGGACGGCGTTGCTTGGGGAGCAGACTGCTGGTATTTACGTTAAAACCTATGCCCAGAGTGGCTGCGGGAGATGCGTGTGCCCGCTCTCCCCATGGCTTCGGTGTTCCCCTTGCGAACCCCACCGAAAGGTTTCTGTTGGGGGAATGCTCTGGGATGAAATCTGGGCTCCTGTCCGCCTCCAAAAGGACTTTTTTTTTTGAGGGGGGAGGGGGAAGGTGGATGGGAGCAGCCAAGATGAGTTATTTTATGTTCCCGTCCTCCCCCCCGCCCCGCGCCATGGTTTGCAGGGCTGTGATGCTCCGCTCCAGACAGCGGGGTTTTTTCGGATCGTGGCATGGCAAATGAGATGTTTCACACGCTTAGGGAGCAGGTACGAGCAGTTTGTTAGGGTGGCACTGAAGAGAACTTCACTTGCACTCGGGTTTATGTCGGGCTTGTAAAATCCTGCAAGCTTTCGGCAGTCCCCCTGCATACGTGAGTAAACCAGTTTATTTTTTTGATTCTCCACCGTGAAAGAAATGGTGGTGTGCCTCTCCCGTGGTGTTTCCCCTGCTGTCCCCTTGCTGTCTCGCTCGCGGCAGGTAGATATCCGCGGCAACTTTGCGGGGTGGTTTTATGTAGCGCTGGCGGCATAAGGGCTCCATTTTCTGCTTTCTGGTTGGTCTAGAACTCCGAAATGCACAGGAACAGCGAAGTGGTCTTAGTGCTGGATTAGTAACTGGGCTGAATAGGTCACCGATGGGGCGATAGAGGCGTTTTATTAATGACGTAAGGCTGCATAAACCTGGTCTGCTGATTTTTTTTATTTCAATATATGGTTGGTGCGGGGGGGAGGGGGAATATCTCTCTAATGGGACGTAATCAACTTGAAACCGCTGACTGCAGCTTGGCGTATCACCCAACGTCACCAACTGGCCGCGCGGAGCCGAGGGAGCGCTGCGTGCGGGGGTTTTGTGTTAGGATTATTTAGTATTTTTAGGGCTTTTCATTATTACTTGCTGTTCCCCCTGCCCGAGGCTTTGGCAGCGGGCCGGAGCTGCTGCCGCTATGCTGCCGGCAGGTGCCGGCGCTGGAGCTTGGTGGGATGACATCACCCCCTCCAAAGCTGGAGCAGCACCCATGCGCACCCCTGCTCAGGGCCCCCCCGCCGCCTCCAGAGCAGCGCTGGGAGCATCCACCTTAGTATTTCTGTTTTCTTTTTTCCCTTTTATTAATCCTTTCCTCTTCCTTTCTTTTGCTGTGTATGGTTAACTGGAACTGAACTGGGGGGGAGGAGGGCACCTTCCTTCAGGCAGACCTCCTCATTAGGATTCAGACAGCTTTACAAGGTGGATTTACACACCCACTCCCCCTTTCCCCCCCTTTTTACACCACCCCCCCCCCCCCCCCCCCCCGCCCCCCGTTCATGGAGAAGTCAATACCGTTCAGAGGTACTGCAAAACAAATAATTGTATTTTCTCTTCTATCCCCCAGTTGTGGGTGGAAAAAGAGGGTTTTTTGAGGAGGAGATGTGCTGTGGGGCATTTGCTGAGTGACTGCACATGTGCTGGAGGGGCTGGGAAGGAGTTTAGGATGTGGGAGATAACTGTTTGGTTTGTGCTTCTGGGTGTGAGGCAGCGTCAGTGAGTGAAGGAGGGGGGGAAGGGAAATGAGGTATCTTTAATTTATTTCTCTCCCCAGTAATACTTAGTGACAATATTTCCAGGCCTTCCTGTGATCTCTTGTAGAAAAGCTTTGTCTGGAAAGGCCCCTGAGAGCCCAAGAAGGCTGTGTAGCAACTTTTAAAAATAAACTTGAAGATTCCAGGACAGGCTAAACGTGGAGTCCTCTGCCAGCTGTTTCTGTCAGGATGCTCAAGCAGAGTTCTGCTGCAGAGACCAGGCTGAGGTGTGGTGCGTAAGAACTAGCTCTTCTTTCCCCAGGAGATGGTGGAGCAGGGTCAGTGCAGGGCTTGGGCTGCAGAACCACTTGGTAGTGACCATCTCTGCCCAGACCGAGGTGCTGGGTGATGGTACCCACCATAATTAAGTAGAAGTGCAGACCATGTTTTTGAAGGAAGATAGACTCTCCTGGATGTTTGGGGAGTTGTCTAATGCACCATGGGGTTCTAGAAGGTCTGTGTAATTCAGTGCAGGTTTTGGCACTAGAAGGGCATCCCGTTGTTTAGATTTTGGGTAGTTCACGGCATAAATGGAAAGTGAATGCCTTTTCTCATCACAGGGTGGATGATGCCTGCTTAGCCTTCCCAAAGTTGCAGTGCTGTTGCTTCTGTGCTTCAGGCTGCTGGATCACTTCTGTCAGGCTTCCGTGGCCACTGGTGATGCTTTTCAGGATGGCCAGCCTCCTTGCTTGTTCCTTCAGTTAAGTGTCATCTGCATTGTGTAACAGGTCTTGTCAGCATAAGGTTGGTTTTGACCAAATCTTTGTTTGAATCAAGTGAAACAAGAGACTGTGAGGTGTTTGTATATTAATAAAGCTGGGGAATTGTTTATTTTTACTGAAGTGTTTTGCTTGTGACTTTTGAAGTGTTGTATCTTCATTTATTTTGTTGGAGGGTGATTGTGTTTTGCCTTACCTTGATGTAACTACAAAGTGACACAAAAATTAATTGAGTGAAATGGAAATTTCATTTTTAGAGAAGCTGAAATGGATGCATCACTGAGACTTTGACCTTCTCAGCTACTGACTAGTGGTTGTTTACTACAGCTGCAGCTGTGTGTCTTTGGAAGAGGAGGAGCTGCAAACACAGGCATGCTCACTTCCCTCAGCTAGAGAGGAGAGCTTAGAATGAGCATGCTGTTTCAAAGTGAGATGTAAAGTATTGAGCAGTCAGGTTGTTGCCTTTCCTTTTGTACAAAGTGTGCTGTGCTGTAACTGTAAGACATATTTGAGTCTTGGAAGTGCAAATGTGAAAGCTTAAAATGACTGTGCTTCCTATGCAGTGAAATTATCTTTTTACAAATGAAATGCATACTTATGCTATAAAAAAAGAAGGGCTTTTGCGTGTAGTACTAAGGGCACTTTCAGCATTTTTCATCAGTGGAAAAAACTCCATGTAAGCTCACCCTCTGTTCAACAGTTGAACTTTAGACTCCTCTTGTTTCAACTGAATGGTTTATTTTTATTATTTATTTATTTTTTGGAGTTAGTACTCAATGCAAGGAAAAAAAGCGCAACAAGAGTTGAGGAGTCAGTGTCAAAATTATTGTTTTACTTTATAGCTAGACATAGAACTGTGTTGACAAACTGGACTGGAGCGTTGACTGGACCTAATATATGTATGTGGCACTGTTGCAGAAGTTGGTAAAATTGGACCAATGTGAGGATATTTGTGCAGTCTCTTTTGGTTTATATATCTATAAAAAAGGAACAACAAAATCCAGGTCTGTGCTAGTGAAGCTGCATTTGCATTTGGAAGCTCTCTTCCACACTTAGACGTGGTGCTCTAAAATCTGTGAACTTTCTCATACTTCTCAAAGTTTGGTGTGACTGGTAGGTTTGAAGTTTATAGTCTGTGCTCTCATGTTTGCTCCCAGGCAATAACTGTAACACAAAAGTGATAGAGTATTCTTTAATCAGCTTTATTTATTTTTTGGTGGCAGAGAATTCTTAAAATAATACTGGGAGACGGAAGAAGAAAAATGAATATGGCTTTGCCAAAAAGTCAGTATTCCTACACTGTATATAACCCTGAGCTTGTGTGCACTTTCCTTTCTTGTGTTCAGTGTGAAATCTTGTGGTCTTTATCAGAAAGCATGAGCTAGACCTTGGTGTAAGCCAAAATTAGATTACAATGCACAAGTATTTTTTGCATTTGTGTCTGCTGCAGAATGATGTGTTTTGATTTGGAGAAGACAACTTTAAATTATGGTGTGCCTTGGATCCTGTAACTGTTTTGGTCATTTCCTGCATTTTTGGGACGGGATGGTGGCATGAGCCATCCCAGTGTTTCTCAACTGGAATATATGGTAGGACTTGGGAGTGAATATGTGAAATCAT